CAGCATCATACCAAGCACCTCTATCCATTAAGCCATCTCTCCCACCTGAGAACTTAAAAGATGCAGCTATTATTAAAAAATATAGCTGCTGTTATTATTATCATAAGATACTCTTTGTTGTTTTTGACACAGGGTCTCTCTATTATGTAACTCTCTCAGACTGTCCTGGAACTATGTAGACCAAGCCGGCCTCAAACTCCTGCCTCTTTCTCTGAGTGCTGGGATTAAAGGTGTTGCTCCACCACACCCAGTCTGGTTTTTGGTTTTAGTCAGGATCCCATGTATTTCAGGGTGGTTTGAACTCTCTTGTAACCAAGGATGACTTTGATCTTCCTGTCTCTACCCCAGGGCTGGGATTACAGCATGAACCACCACTGTCTATGCAGTGCCGGGCATAGCTCCAAGGACTTTGTACATGCCAGGCAAGGGTGTTGCTAACTGAGCCATAGTTTGTGTCCTCTTGGTAGATTTAATGAAAACAGTATCTAGAAATAGAAATATAGTCGGACTTTCTTTGGACTGCCAGTTCCCAAATAATGACAGGGAGACTTCTTATTAAGTATGAAAGTTTGGCCTTAGCTTAGCTTTGTTCCCAACTAGCTCATAAAAGTTAATTTAACCTGTTTATATTAATCTATGTTCTGCCTTGTGGTGGCTCATTACCTTTTCTCCATACCGTACATTTGACGAACAGCACCCGTCTACCTCCACATCTTGCTAGCAAATTACCCACCTCTCGAATTCTTTCCAGAGTGTCCCATAACAGAGAAGAATTTTTTTTAAAGATTTATTTATTTATTATATATATAACATTCTGTCTCCATGTATGCCTGCAGGCCAGAAGAGGGCGACAGATATCATTACAGATGGCTGTGAGCCACCATGTGGTTGCTGGGATTTGAACTCAGGACCTTTGGAAGAGCAGCCAGCGCTCTTAACCACTGAGCCATCTCTCCAGCTCCCAACAGAGAAGAATTTTATGGGAACTATAATGACTTTGAATGTAAAAAGAAAAAAAAATACAGAGAGTATTTTTGATAAGAGTACTGCCCTTAAAGACATGCCATATTACTCCTTTCGGAGACTTTTTACAGAACACTTTTTTTTCCTATGAGACAGAGTTTTTCTATAGACCAGGCTGGCCTCAGACTTACTCTCCCGAGTGCTGGGATTAAAGGCGGGCACCACTGCCTGGCCCAAACAGTTTTTTATTTCTTTATTTAGTATCCTGCCTGAAGGCCAGAAGAGGGCACCAGATCTCATTACAGATGGTTGTGAGCCACCACGTGGTTGCTGGGAATTGAACTCATGACCTCTGGAAGAGCAGTCAGTGCTCTTAACCTCTGAGCCACTCTCCAGCCCCCAAACAGTTCCTAAATGGGAACATCATAGCTCTGTCAGCCAGAAGTGAAACGGAACTAATTAAAGTGTGGGGTCAGGGAGATCCTAGAGCTGCTTCCTAGCTCATTGCAGTTTGCTGTGAAAAGTAGCAAAGCTCATTAAAAATTGGTGAGCCCAGTTTCAAACACCCAAAGCCAGTGTGTCGGTAAATTTCGGTGACTCCCCTGTGCATGCTGAGATGTGCTGTTGATAATAGCAGTGACGTTAAGTGAGTTCTTTATCAGACCATCAGGTGTTTTAGACAGGCAAAGTAACACAACTTTACAGAGTTAAACAAATGTAGCATAAAAGAGTGTAACACATCTTTGCATCATTAAAACAAATATTCCACAGCATAAACAATGTAACACTTGTTAAAATAATAATCTACAACAGAGCCTCTTGCTCTGTAGCTTTGACTGGCTGGAATTTACAGCAGTGCTTCTGCCTCAGCCTTCCAAATTTATGAGCCACCACAGCAGACCAGGCTAAGATCTTTGCATGGTTTTCTTTTTTCTCTTACTAGGAATTCTTCTCAAAGAAGTCAGACTGTTCTTTATTTATGTTTGGCTCCCATAATAAGAAGAGGCCAAATAATCTAGTAATAGGTGAGTATCATATTCTATTTTGTTGTTTGAGACATGGTCTCACTATGTAGCTCTGACTGACCTAGAACTTAGAGAGATCCTCCTGCCTCTGAGTGCTGGAATTAGTGGCTTGTGACACCCACCACTCTAATGTTTTTACTCATAGAGTCAGCTCTCTGACTCAGTTGACTCTGTTTTCAGGATTTACAGTCAGCTCAAGAGTAGTTCCTTCTGGGCTGTAGTGGCGCACACCTTTAATTCCAGCACTCGGGAGGCAGAGGCAGGTAGATCTCTGTGAGTTCTAGGCCAGCCTGGTCTATAAGAGCTAGTTCTAGGACAGGCTCCAAAGCTACAGAGAAACCTTGTCTCAAAGAACCAAAATCAAAAAAATAAAAAAATAAAGAAAAAGAAAAGAAAAAGAAAAAAGAATAGTTTCTGTTGCCGCTGTAACCTTTGACACTGGGTACGTTTCTTTGGACTGGAGTCTACCTCAGTGGTGGAGTCCTTACCCAGCCTTTTGAAGGCTAGGTTTGGAAACTTCTATCCATCAGTGACATCAGTATGGCCTTCCAGCCCAGGGAAGCAAGAAAGAATGTGAAGTAGTTCATGGTGAGTAGTCTTAGAGCACCATTGCTAACATCTTTGGAAAGCAGTTTTGGCTTTTAAACGGGAAATGTGGATTTCTGGTGCTGTTTATCTATTTATTTATTTTTCTATTATTTGTGTGTGTTTGTGTATAGGTAAACTACATGGAGTTACAGATAGTCATGACATGGGTGTTGGAAGAGCAGGGAGTATTACTACCCACTGAGCCATCTCTCCAGCCCTGATCATAGAAACTTTATGTTTCTATCTAACATGTTCAGTCATAGACAACCCTTTCTCATACATCTTGTTTTTTGAGTGTGGATGTTATTGTTAAAGTTTCATCCCATGTCTGATTCGTGCTAAACACTCCTGGTATTGCTGAACTATACCCCTTTTTATTTTATGTAATTATATTTTAATAGAGTCTTTCTCTTTTTCCCCAAGCCAGCCTGTGACTTGCTATAGCGCAGGTTGGTCTTGAGCTCCATCCTCTTGCCTCCCCAGGGCTGGTGTTGCAGGTGCTCACTGCCACACCCAACTCTTCATTTAGTCCCTAAAGTAAGGGAGCAGGGCTTAATGTGAGAGTGGAGAGTTTTTCCGTGACTAATATCCTAACCACACAACTAAGTACATGGCGAGATTTAAGAAGGGAGTGTGTGAGTTTGGAGATACAGAGAAAACACAGATCATTTGGTGAATATAGGTAACATAAGGTGTCTCCTTGGGGAATCTATGTGCTTAAAAATGCATTTCCTTCTAGGTCGAATGTATGACTACCATGTGCTGGATATGATTGAACTAGGTATTGAGAAGTTTGTCTCTCTAAAGGATATTAAGGTAAGATACTGATCTCTTTTTTTTTTAAGATTTATTTATTTATTGTATATTGTATACAATGTCCTGCTTGCATGTGTTCCTGCGGGCCAGAAGAGGGCATCAGATCTCATTATAGATGGTTGGGAGTCACCATGTGGTTGCTGGGAATTGAACTCAGGACCTCTAGAAGAACAGTCAAAGTTCTTAACCTCTGAGCCACCTCTCCAGCCCAAGATACCAATCTTAAAACTAAATAGCATTTTGGCCAGGCGGTGGTGGCATACACCTTTAATCCCAGCACTCGGGAGGCAGAGACAGGCAAATCTCTGAGTTCGAGGCCAACCTGGTCTACAAGAGCTAGTTCCAGGACAGGCTCCAAAGCTACAGAGAAACCCTGTCTCGAAAAACCAAACCAAAAACAAACTAAATAGCATTTTAATAATGCTCTTGGCCAATACTGGTATTGATAGAGTTTTATAGAAAAAGAGCCTCATTCAGAAATACAATTTTATCTTTATTTTAAAAAGGAGTAAAGAAGTGTAGGCCGGTTGGTGGTGGTGCACACCTTTAGTCCCAGCACCCAGGTAGCAGAGGCAGGTAGATCTCTGTGTTTTAAAGACCAAGCCTGGTCTACAGAATGAGACCAACAAAAAAGGAATATATAACAAACAGTGCTTATGGATTTTATAGCGGCTAAACTTCAGAGAGTGGTGTAAATGCTGTCTTTCCTAAGTGAAAACATTCAACAATCCGAAGTTTTCCAGTTGAGCACTGTTCCACAATCAAAAGGTCTGGCTGCCCCTGTATTATTCTATCTCTTAGCTATCAAACTATTGACATAACTCCTCTTCGGGAACCTGCAGTTGCTACTTTGTTTGAGTGGGATTTTGAAACAGAAAGTAGTAAAGTGTGGCCAGAACATCGGGAGAAAGGCAGGGAGTGTCTCACTTCATATTGACCCATCGGCTACATTGTCTCACTTGGACCTTGGAGGTCTGAGTTAAGGCACTTTCCCCCGACTGGTGGGGTCTTTTTGTTTGAGACAGGACTCACTATGTGCTTTGGCTGGCCACAACTCCCTATGTAGACCAGGTTGGTCTTGAACTCAGATTGGCCTGCCTCTGCTACTCCAGTGCTGGGGTTAAAGGCGTGCACCACCACACCAGGCTTAGTTTTCTATTTAGATTTGGTGATTGGAACCCAACGGGGTTTAATTGTTTAACCTTAGAGTCATGCATATTCTAGATAAAAGCCAAGATTAGAGTTTAGGAGCTTAGAGAAAAGGAATATTGTTTATAATGAAGGTTGTATAATTTAGTGGGTTTTGTGTATTTGATATAGAATTTTAAATAACCCAGACTGACCTCAGACTTGCTGTGTAACCAAGGCTGAGCTTGAGTTTCTGATCTTCCTGCTTTCCTGCTGCAGAGGTACTGGGATTAGAGGCATGCTCCACTCTGTCCAACTGAGCTAGTGGGACTTGAGGCTTGTGGGATGGTTAAATTATGGTAAATGTACATATTTCTCGTTTCTTCAGCTCTCTAAAAAAGGGACAGACCTTGAAGATTTAGTAGATTAACTAAACTAAATATCCTTCTCCTGTGGCTTTGAAAAAAAGGTTTTTGCAAGCTCCCTTGTAGTCAGTAACTCCAGCTTCCTTATGTTCGGAGTAGAACAGTGACCTCAGATTGGACCTATGGGTTCAAGGCATGTCTTGCCATTTACGTGACATTTGTGATTTATCATATAAGTGATTTTTTTGGATCCTCAGTTGTGGTTGTAGCTACAATAAGTCAGAATGTATGTGTAAAAATGTTGAGATTATTTTAACAGGTATTGACTATCTTAAAAATTGTTATATAAATTCTTTAGATTTTTGGAAATCATTTAATTATGTTATTTTTATTTTTTTAAATCTCATAGACTAGTAAGTGCCCTGAGGGAACAAAACCCCTGTTGATATTCGCTGGTGATGATTTTGATGTAACAGAAGACTATAGAAGATTAAAAAATCTTCTTATTGGTGAGTATTAGTGGAGCTCGTCTTAGTAACCTGACAGCTGCTTCTGAAACCTACCTTTTCTGCAAGATTAAGCTTGTTCACATTCTTCCTTCTCTAAACTATAACTCTCGTATCTTCATGCTCCAGTCTTCTTGTCTCACTGAGCTTAATAAGGGTTGCATTCCTCAGCATAGGTTGTGGCGCTGGTAGGTTTCCAGGGACACAGGCAAGTCATCCCTAAAGAAATCTCTCTTTTCCCCAGCAACGATTCACTGCCTATAGTTCTGTAAGGTGGTTTGGGACCTCACTAGCCCCTTTCCCATGTCTTAGCTATGTCTCTATTATGATAAAACACCAACAAAAGCAACTGGGGAGGAAAGGGTTTATTTGTCTTACAAATTCCATGTCATAGTCCACTGAGAGAAGACAAGCGGGAACTGAAGTAGAAGCCACAGAGGAATGCCTCTTGCTGGCTTCCTCTCCACAGCTTGCTCAGGCTGCTTTCTTTTTTTTCCTTGTTTTCTTTTTTAAAAATTATTATTTATTTTTATTTATGTGCATTGGTGTTTTGCCATGGGTTTCGGGTCCCCTGGAACTGGAATTACAGACAGTTGTGAGCTGTCATGTGGGTGCTGGGAATTGAACCTGGGTCCTCTGGAAGAGCAGTCAATGTTCTTAACCACTGAGCCATCTCTCTAGCCCCCTCAGCCTTATTTTTTATACAACCCCAAACCACCTGCCCAGGGAAGGCACCTTTGCAGGAACCACAGCCAAAAGCGGTTCAGAGGTCAGCAGTCATGTCATGTCGTGTCATGTCATGTCATGTCATGTTATGTGAGTTCCACAGCACTCCTCCCCTTCCAGCATCTTCAGTCTGTCTGTCCACCTCTTCACTTCCCTGAGCCTCAGATACTCCATTTAAAGCTGAGCATCCAACAGTTTACTTTGATTGCTTTGACCAGTTATGAGTTTGCAGTAATTGCTATCCTCTATAAAAAGATGCTCCTCTGACAAACTGAGAGCAACACTAATCTGTGGACTTACACATAAATATTTAGAAGGCAGTATGACAGTAATACCATGTCCAGTATCTAAACATCAGCAGTTGGATCTCCACTAGGGCATGTGACCACCAGAGCCACAGCCTTTTGACCAGGTTTACAGTACAGATGTGAACTTTCTCCTGCAGGGGGCACCTCAAATCTAATAAGACACAGGTTGGTTATACTCATGACAGTCATGCCACTGTTGCATCAGTGAGCACATCTTGCTTGGTGAATCAATAGTGTAATGTGTGAGGACCACTCTGTGTTAAGACTATGGATGTCAGTTCTACACAGCATCATGCATAGCAAGCCAGTTGGGAGAAAGCTTCCATATCTTGATTTCTTTATGTCTTGCAACCAAAGTGTGTGGTGTCTTCAGCAGTGATGTTTTATCCAGTTCTGGTAGGCAACGGTCAGCAGTGACAATAACCTGTATTATTTGGGGTGAGGGAATTTATTTTTACTTTTGTTTTTCAAGATAGGATTTCTTTCAAGATAGTGTCTTAGCTGTCCTGGAACTAGCTCTTGTAGACCAGGCTGGCCTCAAACTCCCAGAGAGCTACCTACTTCCACCTCCCAAGTGCTGGGATTAAAGGTGTGCACCACCACATTTTAAAAACTTTGTGTTTCTTTGCCCTAGGTCACTTGAAAAGTTGGTGGCATGTAAATTGTGTACTTGACTTTAAAAATCTAAGGTCAGCAAAGGATATTTATGATAGACATGTTGAGAACAAAAAGCTTTCATATTTCCTTGTGATTGTACTCGTTTTACTGGTATCATAATTCTTTAGAACTTCTCAGTTAATAATGACTGTTAATATTTTTTGTTGTTGTGCTGAATGTTGAATCCCAGAGCCTTATGACTTCTAAGCAAATGTGCCACCCCACACTAACCCCAGACTTTAAGATTTTTTTTGTTTTTCTCTTTGTGTGTGTGTATGCCTCTGATGTAGGAAATCCTTCTGTATATGTGTTGCTTTTATTGGTTAATGAATAAAGAATCTGCGTTGGCCTGTGATAGGGCAGAGTAGAGCTGAGGGGGGGTGACTAAACTAGATGTTGGGAGAAAGAAGGCGGAGTCAAGGAGATACCATGTAGCCGCCAGAGGGGAAAGACAGGAGCTATCAGTTGTAACCTTGCCGGTAGGCCACAAATCCTGTGGTAAAGTATAAAATAATGGAAATGGGCTAATTCCAGATGTAAGAGCTAGCTAGCAATACACTTAAGCTATTGGCCAAACAGTATTACAAATAATATAATTTCTAAGTGATTGAGTCAGAGGGGTGGGGAAACGAACAAGAGGCCTCCCACAACATGTCTCAGTGCACATGGGAAGGTCAGAGGACAACTTTGTGGTTTGGATTCTCTCTTTCCATCATTACTAGGTCCTAGAGATGGAACCCACGTCTCCAGGCTTGTGCACCAAGCACTCTTACCCACTGAGCCATCCATCACATTAGCACTCTTTGGTTATTTGAGACATGATCTCACCTTGTACCCCAAAGTAGTCTCAGTATGAACCAGGCTGGCCTTGCCCTTTCAGCAGTACCCGTGTCTCAGCCTTCCAAGTGCTGAGATGCAGGTACAGTCACCACACCCAGCTCAAGGGTAGTTTTGAGAAGGGTCTTGCTGTGTCTCTCAAGCTGGCTTCAAACTAGCCTGTGGTTTTCTGCTCAGTCTTTTGAGTTTTGGTATTATAACCCTGTTCTGTCATTGTGTGGCTTTGTGTCTTTTCTCTCTTTTCTCTTTCCTTCCCTTCTCTCCCACTCCACGCCCCTCTCTTCCCTTCCTTCCTTTTGAGACAGGGTTTCTCCGTGTAACCATCCTGACTGCCCTGGAACTCGCTCTGTAGACTAGGAACTAGGAGACCAGCCTGCCTCTGCCTCCTGAGTGCAGGGATTAAAGGTGTGTACCACCACTGGGCTCCGTTTTCTTTTCTTGTGTGCATGCATCTGGGTTTCTTTTGAAGTGGACTTTATATTGTAAGCTGGTACCAGGTCGCAGCAGTTCTTTTACCTGTACTGAGATTACACAGAATTATAAATGTGTGCCACTACACGAGGGCTCACTACACTTTATAAACCCTATCTCATATCTTGTACTTCCACTAGATGGCGTGAAAGACTACAATGCAGTGATTGGGAAGGGAGTAGCATGGAAAAGAAATTTGGGACAGAAGCAGAAAGGTGGAAGAGGAATGTTTTCACGGGGGAAGTTAGGCTTTTAGTATGAGTAAGTCAGGCCACTGCTTGTGTCCAAATGAAATACAGTAGCAGCAGCCCTATACTTGGGAGAGTGTCATCCCCGATCTCCTCCACGTAGGTGATGTAACCTAAGGGTGTGTGCTTACGTACCTTGTGACAGGACAGGCTGATAGAGGACTGTCTCCTGCAGAGTTCTTTTCTGAGTCTACTGGGTTGAACCCAGGACTTTATATATGTTATATATGCCAGGCAAGCCTTCTGTCATCAGATTATATTCCAACCTATACAATTGCTTTTTTTGGAAAACAAATTTTTCTTTTCATTTTTGGTTTTTGTTTGTTTTGCTTTTGTTTTTTTGAGACAGGGTTTCTCAGTAGCTGTGGAGTCAGTCCTGGAACTTGCTCTGTAGACCAGGCTGGCCTCGAAGAGAGATTCGCCTACCTCAACCTCCTGAGTGCCGGGGTTAGAAGCATGAGCCACCACTGCCCGACGAAAAACAAAATTTATTTTGTATATGATGTGTAGTGGGTGTACATGTGTGTGTAGGTCAAAGGGAAACTGGAGTTGACTGCTCCTTCCACATTTACCTGGGTCCTGGGAATTGAACTTGGGTCTCCAGGCTTGCATAACAAGCGTACCTACTCACTGTGCTATCTTACCTACCTGGGACTGCTTTTCTTCATGGGAAACACAGGAAACAATACCAGTGTTTAAGTTCTGTCTGTCCTAATTTTTATGGCTGTTTTTTTATGTGACTGTTTCTAGTATATAAAGATGATAGTAAACAAAGAATAAATATATTTTGGTGAATACTTTCTGTACTTGGGAGGTAGAGTCAGGGGTTCAGAGAGTTCAGAGTCATCCTCATAGTGAGGAGTTTGAGGCCAGATTGACGTTTCTCTTTGTCAACATGTCTCCAAACAAACTAAAGTAGGCTGGAGAAATAGTGCAAGGGCCAGTTACATGCTTGAGTTTGGTTATAGTCCCAGTGCTGGGGAAGTAGGGACGGACACACTCTGGGACTTGCTGACTGGCCAGCCTAGCCTAGTTACCAAAGTCTACTCCAGGGAAACTCTGTTCCTGGGGTTGTCTGTGTCCCCACACATCCCTGCTAATACATACACACAGCTGCTAAAAAGATAGCACTTTGTAACTGATTTTTTTTTTAATGATTTATTTTTATTTTATGTACGTTGGTGTTTTGCCTACATGTATGTCTGTGTGAGGGTGTCAGGTCCCCTGGAACTGAAGTTTCAGACAATTGTGAGCTGCCATATGGTTGCTGGGAACTGAACCTGGGTCCTCCGGAAGAGTAGCCAGTGCTCTTAACCACTGAGCCATCTCTCCAGCCCCTGTAACGGAATTTTGAAATAGTTCTCTTTCTTAACAACTGAATATGTGCTTTCAGATTTCTTCAGAGGCCCCACAGTGTCAAATGTCCGACTGGCCGGATTAGAGTATGTTCTGCACTTCACGGCACTCAACGGGAAGGTTTACTTTCGAAGCTATAAGTAAGTGCATTTCCTGGTAGTTTTCAAAATCCTCAGAAATCACACTGTATTCTAGCTCAGAGTTGACTCCTGCCCAGTGCGTCTGCAGGATTTGCAGAAGGCAGCAGTGGGAGCTGTGCCCTGACCTTCCATCCGACTGCTGAGAAACTCACTTTCCAGGGTCCCTGGTCAGCTGTCACGCACCTGGCATTTTAGTCATCGCCCTTCCTAGATTTCTGTGCTGTCTCATTGTCCTTGACTGGATTTAGAGCACCAAACCACAGTCAATCCAGATATCCTAGATTTGAAAGCTACAGCATCAAGTGTGTAGGATGTACCAGTGACTGACTGCATTAATTTCCTCTCTCGCATAGGTTTCTGCCATAACCCCAGTGTAATATTAATATGAGTGTAGACCCCAGCAAGCAGATTGTTTTGTTGTTTGGTTTGAGTTTTTGAAACAATATCTCTTGACGTAGCTTTAGACTGGCCTTGAACTCATTGTGTAACCCAGGTAGGCCTCAGATTTGGAGTTCTCCTGCCTTGACTTTTTAGGTGCTGGCATTACAGGCCAGAACCACTACTCCCAGCCAGATTGTCTTGAATTTTTTTAAAAAAAAAAATTTTTTTTTTTTTGAAACAGGGTTTCTCTGTGTAGCTTTGGAGCCTGTTGTGGCCAGATTCTTGTTTTACTGATGAGATACTGCCATGCTAAAATTACTCAGAGTTAGGGTTAGCATCCCCTTTTTACTCCTTTAAAAAAAAATAAAATGTTCAGATGAAACTTAAGTATTTATCTCTTCTTGTCTGTTGGTCTTTTGTGCCCAGCAGTATAAAGGTTTATGGAGGGACAAGCTAGATGGGATCAGTCCCCTTAGCAGCTGCTTTCCTCTCGGCCTCGGTCCCTCTGTTGTTCTCTCTTCCACTGTGGATGACAAAGGGAGGCTGGTTCACCTCTGGCCTCCTCCACATGCGTGTGTGTGTACCCGTGCACACGTGCACACACATCAGACTTAAGAGCAAGGGTGAACTGTACATCGTGGCAGCACACCTTTAATCCAGCGTTAGGAAGGCAGAGGCAGGTAGATCTGCCAGAGAATACAATTGCTGAAGTCACTTTTAGGGTTAGCCTGTCAGTCATTCACAGTAAAGTGTTTTAATTTCAAAATCAGGACCCAATATAAACTTTGATTTCCTAGGCTGGGATGGCAGACACATGTCAGCATGCCTAGCATTCATTTTTCTCTTCTTTCCAGGAAGGGTGAGACAAGGTTTCTCTGTGTAGCTCTGGCTATCTTGGAACTCTGTAGACCAGGCTGCCCTTGAGCACAGATCTGCCTGCCTCTACTTCCTGTTCTGGGATTAGAGGTGTGCGCCCCATACCTGACTCATTCTATCCCTCTGTTTCTATAGCGCTTTGTTGTTGAACCCTCTGGTCTTTATGCGTCACAGACTGTTTTGTCTCATTTAATTGAGTGTGGGTGATTGCTTGATGTCTGTTCTTGTGATTCTTGCTGTGACCAGCAGTTGTGCCTCCCATGCATGCACGCTCTGTTGGCTCTCTCCAGGTGCACTTTGGACCCAGATTTCTGCTAGTAGGCATCAGCACACACACGTGCCAGCTTCCTGCTGTTTGCTCTCTTGAGCCTTCCTTAATTGTTCTGTTCCTTCTCATTACCCATGTCGTCTGTTGACTCTGCAATGCTAATCAGTTAATATTTCCCTTCCGTCCCTTTTCCCTCATACCTTTTTACCTGTGGGAACATAACTGCTCTAAAATGTGGTTGTGAATATAATGTTCAGATTTTTTTTTTTATTTTTTTGAGACAGGGCTTCACATCGCCCAGACAGTCCTGAATGGCCTCTTAACTGGTCCTTAGGCCTCCATTCCAAGGGCTCGGATTATACTTCAGGTCTTTCAGCTCTTCTTAGGCCGTCACTCAAACAGCTGGGGGTGAGGCCAGTTGTGGACCTAAGAATTTATTTACTAGGATTTTTAGATTTACTACAAGCTACAGGAGTCATTAATGAACTGCAGGAAAAAGTCAATTTTGAATGGGTTGATTAACTTAATAATGCTGGAGATGGGAATTTGTTCATCTTTTTAGCATACTGTTTCTTTTTTCTTCTTTTTCTCCTGAAATAGGGTCTCACTATGTAGCTATGGCTGTCCTGGAATTTACTATTGTAGATCAGGCTGGGCTCAAACTCACAGAGATCCACCTGCTTCTGCCTCCAAGTACTGGGATTAAAGGTGTACACCACTACATCCCACTAAATATACTGTTTCAAAAGTCTAGTTACAATTTAGAATATTCATGTGTTCTATCACTGAATTATTTGAATTTTTCTTTTTCTTTTTTTTCTTTTTAAGTTTTTTGCGACAGGGTTTCTCCGTAGCTTTGGAGCCTGTCCTGGAACTAGCTCTTGTAGACAGGCTGGCTTTGAACTCACAGCAATCCGCCTGCCTCTGCCTCCCGAGTACTGGGATTAAAGGCGTGTGCCACCACTGCCTGGCTTTGAAAATAATTTTTATACTTGTTTCTCAGGAATATTGTGTCCTTTCATTTCTGATTTTTAAAAACTAGCCAAAAAATACACTTGGTATGAATGCTAAAAGTATCTTACCTATTCCTGTCACTATTTGAAACTATGAGCCCCTTTCGGCAGAGGTTTTTCAGAGAGGACTTTAAAACATAAGCAAAGCAGCATCTCTTATTCCTAAAGGCTTCTGTTGAAGAAATCTGGCTGCAGAACCCCACGAATTGAGCTGGAGGAGATGGGACCGTCGCTGGACCTCGTTCTGAGGAGGACACACTTAGCGTCAGATGACCTTTATAAGTTGTCTATGAAAATGCCCAAAGCTCTCAAGGTAAACCACCTGTGTTTCTTCCTGTATTCACTCCTGCCGGGAAGGATCTGTGGCCATTCTATTAAAGAGATGGGGGAAATGAATAAAGGAAAAAGTTAGGCTCCAAGCTAGAAGGGATAAAAACCCTGTCCAGATATGAAGGTAGTAAAGAGCTGCCAAAGCCAGGGGGCTGGTGTGGCTGACAGTTTTCTTGTAGCCAGGACCTCCATTTTCCACAGAACCAGAGCAGTGTGAACATAGTGAATACAGGGTTGAGAGCTATCTTTGTAGAATAGTATACATGTTAAATGTGTATTGACTTGATGTCTAGTCTGGCCTTGAACTCGGGATTCTTTTGTCTCAGACCTTCAATGCTGGATTGCAAGCATGCACTGCCAGGCCCAACTTTGTTTTCAGTTATTTCCAAAACAACTAGCGGGGCTGGAAGGATGGCTTCACCGTGCACTCACACCCTGTAACTTTCTCTCATGGCCTCTGTGGGCTCCTGCACACACACACACACACATACACACAAATAACAGTAAAATAAAAGGTACACACCAGGTAGACAGCCTAACTGGGGAACACTAGTACAGATTGAATTGATAACTCAGTCTTCTGGAACACGACAGATGACCTGACATTTTACCCAGATGGCAGTGACTGGCTCTGAATGAGAACTTGCATTTTAAAGAAGTCCCATGGTCCCTAGACGGGACAGTTGTGTAAAGCTATGTCCTTTGTGTCATTGGGAGTCTTCACAATGGGAATTGTTGTGTACTAGATTTTTACAAGTTATGTAGTAAAAGGTCACTGAAAAATTACAGGGGGGCTGGAGAGATGGCTCAGAGGTTAAGAGCACTGACTTCTTCCAGAGGTCCTGAGTTCAATTCCCAGCAACCACATGGTGGCTAACAGCCATCTCTAATGAGATCTGGTACCCTCTACTGGCCTATAGGAATATATGTAGACAGAATACTATATGTATAATAAGTAAATAAATCTTTTTAAAAAATTGCATGTATATGTATATATATGTGTGTGTGTATGTATATTTTTTTTCTCTTATTTTATAGCCAAAGAAGAGAAAGAATGTCTCTCAGGATACTTTTGGTACAACTTTTGGAAGGATTCATATGCAGAAGCAAGACCTAAGCAAACTACAGACCAGGAAAATGAAGGGGTTGAAGAAGCGACCTGCAGAGATGGGGACAGATGGCGAGGGGAAAAAATCAAAGAGAATTAAGAAAAATGAGTGAAACCAACTGACAGTGACCACTTTCTTGTGGTTGTTTACTAAAAAGAACTGTTCGATTTAAGTCTGTTCAGTTTTTTCATAGGAGTTTGTTGTTTCTTTGTAGGTTTTTGGAGGGATAGTGGTTTGATGAGATCTCATATTGTAGCCCAGGCTAGCCTCAGTCTCCCAAGAGCAGCAATTATAGGCATGTACCACCATACCTAGCATATTGTATATTTCTGTAACATAACTTATTACTTAAATTTTTAAAAAATTTGAAATCGTATGTGTTTGGATCATATTCATCCCAACTTTTCTATTTGTTTTTTATTTTTTTAATGAATGTGTGTGCACGTGCATGTAATGTCATGGTGTGTCTATGGTGAGAAGACAGTGAATGTGCGTGCATGTATGTCACAGTGTGAGGATGGTGAGAAGACAGCAGATGTGTGTGTGTGCATGTATGTCACGGTGTGAGTATGGTGAGAAGAGAGTGAATGTGCACGCATGTATGTCACAGTGTGGGTATGGTGAGAAGGCAGTGAGTGTGTGTGTGTATGTCACTGTGTGGGGATGGTGAGAAGACAGCGTATGTGCGCGCCCATGTATGTCACAGTGTGGGGATGGTGAGAAGACAGCGGATGTGTGTGCGCATGTCAGTGTGGGTATGGTGAAAAGACAGTGAATGCGCGCGCACATGTATATCACAGTGTGGTTATGGTGAGAAGACAATGTGTGTGCATTTATGTCACAGTGTGGGTTTGGTGAGAAGGCAGTGAATGTGTGTGTGTGTATGTCACTGTGGGTATGTTGAGAAGACAGCGGATGTGTGTGAGTACATGTATGTCACAGCATGGGGATGGTGAGAAGACAGCGGATGTGTGTGAGTACATGTATGTCACAGTGGGGATGGTGAGAAGACAGCGGATATACGCGCCCATGTATGTCACAGTGTGGGGATGGTGAGAAGACAGCTGTGGAGTGGGTTGGCTCGGGGGGGACTGAGCTCAGTCACTCAGTTTGCCAGGCTCTACATTAGGTAAGTGCCCTTACCCACTGGGCCACCCTGCTGGCCCAGTCTGTTACACACTACAGTTTAGAGCAGGTTTTCCCCTGTGCCATTGGGCCGCAGTGTACTACCTGTGCCTGCTGGACATTCTGTCCCTCCCCAAATTCTTTTCTTTGATTGTTTGAGAATGAGGGGCCACCACCCCTGTGGACCAGGTGGTGCTGGATACAGAACTTGGGTGACAGAGGTGAGCACATGGGCAGAGCTTTAACGGGGAGGGGACTCTCCTGAGAGGGTTTACCACATTGATGAGTGATCAGGCTTCTCCCAAACAGAAGGAGGCTGGGGTGTTAGGGACTGGTCGTGGTGTGGTATATTCTTAGGAAGCCACTGCCTTGTGTAAGATGTCAGTCCGTGGCCAGTTTGTCTTCAGGGACATCATGGTTCCACTCTACCTGCTCTTGGTTGTGCTGGTTCTTCTTAGAAAGCCAGACATTGCAGTAGGGAATGGCACCATACATTGCTGAGAGAGAGAAGGGTTGGGAAAGACGGGTGCTTTCTAGTAACAGCTTATGGATTGAGAGCCAAGAGCTTACCTGTCTCTCACATACTGGGCAAAAGCTCTGGAAAGCAGAAGTGACTTGAGCTGTTTGCACACTACTTCAGTCTGGATCCCTGGAGTGTGCGCTGTACCCCAGCACACGACCACAACTTGATCTTTAGTTTTTCTTACTGCCTTGCTAGAAATCTTACTACTTAGAAGATTTACCTGAACTGGATGTTATACACAGCTTTGACCTCACTGCTAGGGAGGCAGATGCCTTGAATTCAAGACCAGCTAGAGCTACAGTGACGCCCCATCTCAAAAGACAAGCTAGCTTCGTAGTTTAAAATACAGTTCTTTGAAAGTGATTGTGTGACCACTGATGCAGTCCTGCCCCGTGTTATCACTGTTTTAACCTGGGGCTTAGGATGCTGTGCTGTGCTTTCCAATTGAGCTACAGTCCCAGCCCGCAAAGGAATTTAGCGGGTGGATCTGGGAAGGGTAGAGCTCAACTGGCAAGATAAGGTGCAAGGCAGTTCAGGATTGGAGTAGTCCTTGGAAGCTATCGGTGCCTGGAGAGCCTGCGTATTTGTAGATAGAAGAGTAGTCAGCCCCCGGAGACCAGCCCCACCTGTCTGAGAAAACAGACGACACCACCTCCTCCTAATATTGTATACTAAAGAACAGCAAACAGGTTCCTCATGTTAGGCCCTAGCCGAGGGGGTGGAATGGCCGCCACGCCCACTGCCTTTAAAAGGATTTACTTAGTTTGAGGTTCGCTTGCCGCTGGCTCCAGAGTACTGTCGTCAGTGCCACCACACCTGGGTTGTTTTGTTTTTAAAGATTTGTTTCTTATGTGTGCAGTCTTTGCTTGCATGTACACCTGCACACCAGAAGAGGGCATCCTATTATAAATGGCTGTGAGCCACCATGTGGTTGTTAGGAATTGAAGTCAGAACTTCTGGAAGAGCAGCCAGTGCTCTTAACCACTGAAACATCTCTCCAACGCCTGGATTTTTTTTTTAATTAATTTTTTTTCATTGCTTGTATGTTTGTGAGTGTACACATGAGTATGGGTGTCTGTGGAGGCCAGAAGAGAATGTGTCAGCTCCCCTGAAGTTGTTTGTGGGCCGCTGGATATGGATGGGTACTAGTACTAAACTCAGCTGGATATGGATGGGTACTGTAGTACACCATGCCTATCTGCGCTTTATGCACTACCATACAGTTTGTGAACCGGGCAAGGGGTTGGAGATTGAAACACACAAAGACACACAGACAGAGACACGGGTAATCCTTGAAACAGGAATGTCTCTCCTTATTGTGTACCAGAGCGCTTATATAGAGATCCTTAACTGATAGCCACGCCCCAGCCAAACCCACCAGAAACCCCTCCCCTTCCATCAGGAACTCCTGAGTCTCATGCTCAGAGCAGCTGCAGGCTGTCTTAGAGCAGAGGAAAACAAGTTGTTTACAAGAAATTCAGAATCTGGGGGTTCATAGCTCCCAATAGGGAGCTAAACTCAGGTCCTCTGGAAGAGCCGGTGTTGCTGTAACCATTGAGCCAACTCTCTAGCCCATGAAGCAATCCTCAGCACCGCGAAAGAAAAAAACCAATTGAGCATGGTAGGTTTCAGCAGTAAGCCCAGCATCGGAGAAGCACTGTGTGCGTGCACATGTGTATGTACATGTGACACAAAGCGTGTTTCCAGCCTCACATCTAGCAATACCCCAGCCCCGTGCCTGCTTGTGCATGCGTTTGCGCGTACTCAGCCGCAGGTCAGCGGTGGTGGCAACGGAAATGCTGGAGTCTGTGTTGCCTTCTGTGTACTTTCTCCCATGAACCAGAGTTGGGGCCAAGCCAAGGCTGAGGTGTGTGCTTGACCTTGGGAGTCCCGTTGCATACCAAATACAAAAGGTAAACACAGACCAGGCGCCTGTGTAACTGCTGCAATCAAAGTAGTCTTTGAAGGTTCACACACACCAGCTTGTGTTTATTTTCCCGAGCCCTTATCTTAGGGTTTCTATTGCATGACCATGGCAACTCTTACGAAGGAAAGCATTTAATGGACTGGCTTACAGTTTCAGAGGTCCATTATTGACATGGTGGACATTATGGGACATAGTGGGACGTGGTGGCATACAGGCAGCCATGATGCTGGAGAAGGAGCTAAGAGTCCTACTTTGATTGAAGGTAACAGGAAGTGAACTGTGACACTGGGCACAGTTGGAGCATAGGAGAGAGACCTTAAAGCCATGCCTAATGGTGCCGTTCGCTGTTTTCTTTCAAACCACCACATCCTATATTCCCAATTTCCCCATGGTCAGTTGCTTGACAACAGTGGTGGAAGACAGAGTAGGGACATCTCTTTAGATGCCAGCGAGCACCATCACTTCTATTGGCCTTCTAGAGGTGGCCTTGAGGTTCTTGCATTTAGATGAGAGCAGAATTGTTTGCAGTTCCTATCAGACCTCATTTATACCCATTTCTCATTTACCTCCACTGAAGGAGTGAGAGTGTGTCCCCAACACTTCTCGTTTGGGGACACACCAAGTTAAACAATCTTGGACACAGGAATGCTCTGGTGAGATAAAAGCTCCTCAAAGACAGAGGCACAGTGTGGCCCAGGGAATATGTGGGTGTGGGGAGCAGTGGGCTGTACAGCGCAGGGAAAGGTGTGCAGGCAAGAGAGAAAACACACCCTCTTGTTCTCTGAGGGTGAAGTTAAGACAGTCCAGCCATGGGCAATACCAGCTGACATGATGTTGAAGCAGCAGCATTACAGTTAGTAGCCTTTCCAAGAAGGCTTATGCTTTTAACCCCAGTGTGTATGGGAGGCTGAGGTATGAGGACTGTCATGAGTTCAAGGCGAGCCTGAGTTACAGAATTGAGACCTTGTCTCAGAAACAGAGGAGGGATATGGGACGCTGACTCAGTCTGGAAAGTATCTAGTAAGCATAAGGACCTGGTGTCAGTATTCAGCACCCTCCAGAAAAATTGATCATGGTGATGCACATATGTAATCCTAGTCATGACATGTAATCCTAGTCACGGTGGCGCACGTATGTAATCCTAGTCATGGTGGTACACGTTTGTGGTCCTAGTCATGACAGTGCACTATGAAATTCTAGTCACGGTGGTGCATGTATGTAATCCTAGTCACGGCGGTGCACGTTTATAATCCTCGTCATGACAGTGCACATATGTAATCCTAGTCACGGTGGTGCATGTAGGTAATCCTAGTCATGGTAGTGAATGTAGGTAATCCTAGTGATGGCAGTGCACTATGTAATCCTAGTCATGGTGGTACATGTAAGTAATCATAGTCATGGTGGTGCACGTATGTAATCCTAGTCATGGTGGTGCACGCTTTGGTCCAGGTCACGGTGTTAATGTTTGTGGTCCTAGGGCAGGTCCTTGGAGCGCACCTACTAGCCAGCCTAGACTACACAGTGAACCCCAGGCCCCAATAGGAGATTCCAGCTCAGAAACTGAGGTGGAAACCAGGTGTGGTGCATACGACGATGCTCCTAGCACTTGGCAAGCAGAAGCAGTCTGATCTCTGAGTTTGAAGCCAACCTGGTCTGTACGGCAAATTCCAGAATGACATAGTGAGACTTAAACTCAAAACGAAAACTAAGGTGAGGCACTCCTGAGGAACAATACCTGGTGGACCTCTAACCACACATGCTCACATATATGCACATAAACATATACCCTAAACCCAGTGGC